CATCTGCTCCTTTTATATCTTGTAACAGATGGAGTCCAAGCCCGCCCCACCCGAATCCTGCCTCACTAACGTCATAGTGATTCCCCAGTGGAATCCCAACCACAGTCACCGTGGGTGGGATTTACAGGTCTGTTTGTTTTGGGGTGGTGGGGGGCTGTTGGTGAGGATCATGGTGGCAATGTTGATGCTGCGGTGCTGCTGAGGGTCATCTCAGTGGTGGAAGAAGTGTAGGATGGTGGCACAAGGGGCGGTGACAGCCTAGGAGCAGGGTACGGACCTGGCTCAGGAGTGGCTGGCTTGGGTCACCAACTGGGAAGAGGCAGAGTGGGGTTAGGAATTGCCCCCTGAAACCCCTGAAGCCTGGTCCAGGTGCCAGGACTGGAGCTCTCGGAATAATTGGGCTTCCAAGGTCTCTCTCTCCCTGGAGCTCTGGGGGGCGGGGAGATGTGGTCCCCCCAGCCCACCTCCTCTGCCCCTCACACCCACCTTCCTATACTCACCGCCAGGAGCCCCTGCCAGCCTCTTCAGTTCTCTCTGGAGGGGACCAGTGGGCGGGCAGGGCTGGGCATCATTGACTGGAAGCCCCAGGATGGAAGAGACAGCAAGGAGAGGAGGGAGCAGGGAGCTAACCAGACTCCACTGGCCCTGCTGGCAGGCGACGTGGCCTGGATTGTCAAGAGCACCTTCAGTAATCTCCCACCTGACCTTAGCGTCAGTGGCTTTCGGGGGGCTTTCAGGTGTGAAGACACAAGGACCCAAAGGCAGAGGGGTCATAAAGAAAGGGGCCACACAAGGGTCCGTGTGACCCCCTTCAAGGGCAGGCCCCCCTATTGAGCCCCATGGGAACTCTCTAGGCAGCCACGCCCCAAGCAGGTGGGAGCTGGGTGACAGGCTGGCTGAGGAAGGGTCACCGATCCCAGGGGAGCCAAGGGGCTGGGCAGGCAGGCCCAGGGTGGCCATGCCCATGGCAGGAGGGTGAGGGTGAGTCTGGGTGGGAGATGAAGGGGGTGGTCTGTGGGGAGGGGAGGGGTGTGGCTGCACCTGGTCCCCTTGACCCTGCTCTTAGGTCCGCCTGGGCTCCAGGCCGCCGGGCCTTTATCTAGAGCCCCAGCTGTGGTCAAGGGAAGTGGCCGTTTCTCTCGGCTGTTCTGTTTCCCACACCAGACCCGGTGATAACGCGGGAGAGTCGGGTGGGGAGGGGGAGAGATTGAGCAAGACCTCGTGTCAGGGCATGGGAGGGTGTGGCCATGTGACCTTTGACATCCTGGACGGGGTGGGGGTGCATGGCATCATGCGGGAGCCCACTGTGTGGCCTTGCTCCTGGGGTGTCTGCACAGGGGAGGGGCAGGGCAGGGATGGGGGTCTAGTCTGCCCTTTCTGAGGTCCCTGCTGGGGCCTGGACACTCCCACACCTGTGACCTTGGCGGCAGGTGTGCTTCTGCTCCCACCCTAGAAGACTCCAGGTCTTCGGAGCCCAGCACACAGTAGGCCCTCTGCAAATTCAGAACGGGCCATCCTTGCGCCTCTTCCCACTCCGGATCCCTGTACCCTCATGCCATCGCATTGCCCTCCATCCCCCCCCCACCCCAGACCTGGTTCCCTCAGAGCCCAGAGCTGGGGCAAGGGCACCCCTCCCATAGAGCACATGGCGCCCCAACACCTTCTACTCGCCACTCACCTGGTGCTTGCAGGTCTTGCCTAATTAACATCTCTACTCTGTTATCAGCCAAATGCTCATTAGTATTTTTAATCAGGGCTGCCTATGTGGGCACTTTACTTCAAGGTGCAGAGGTAGCTGATAGGGAGTGGGGTGGGGCACAACCTATCTCTCTTCCCAGGAGCCCTGAGCACGCACTCACACACTAGAGCCCGTCCTCCCCCTGGCAGACTCTTACTCTGGCTCCAGGTGCCCTTCCCTGGGCAGAGACGGAGCTGGGAGACCACTCAATGTGTTATGGGCGCCCCCACATGCAGCTGCGTGGGACCGGCCTGGGTCTCTGGAAGACAGCCTTGAAATATGCTGAGCCCTTGTGGGGAGGCTGCAGAAACAGGGGGACCCCAGCACTGGGGGCTTGGAGTCGGGGGGTGGGGGTGGGTGGTGGCTACCTTATGGGATCAGAGACTATTTTGATGGGGCTTCTCTCTAGAACAGCCCTCCCTCCCAGACTCACCTACCCGAGTGCTCCTTCAGCCCACAGGGCACACCCTGTCTCCACTCCATGCCCTTCTGACTTGACCCCTTCTTTATCCCATTCACAGACACACAGACCCACCACCGCAGGCTCCTGAGGAGTGGAGTGCATCCCCTGACACAGTCAGAGGGGGAACCCTGCAATGACCCTGTGGTTCACAGTGCCAACTTGGGCCCCTTTCCTCCCCCCAGTTAATGTCTCTCTACTTCAAGCCAACTACTAGCCGGGGTGTGGCACCCATCATTGGGAGGACATGGGGGTGGTCTCCACCTTGACCAATGGGAGGTCAGGGGAGTTCTGGGAGCCACCATGAAATACAAAATGGGGTGACAACAAGCCTAATGATGCCACTGCTTCAGAGACAGAAGTTGCCCCTTCCCCTGCCGGGGGGTTGGGGTGGGAGCGGGGGTAGACCCAGGCCTTCCCATTTATCTACCCAAAACATATTAACTCCGCAGTCTTGATCCCAGGGACATTTCCAGATAAGCCTTATCTCACGGCTGGGCCCTAGCCCTGCTGGTTGGTGGGCCTTCCACTCTTGCCCGTCCTGCCCTCTGGTCTGTGACTTCACTCTTGTGTGGGCCAGCAGGCTGCCCACCTCACCTTTGACCTCAAAGCAGGTTCCCAGGGGGCACCTGTTTCCAAGGACACTGTGCAGAAGTGGATGGGACCTTGTGGTCCACAACTAGGATCCAGATCCCTAGCTCTTCCTGGGGCGCTCCCTCTGCACAGCACCCTGAGGGGGAAGGGAAGGCAGCTGCCCAGCAGTTCCCTGCTCTACCACTCCACTGGCCTTGCACTGCCTGAGGGCCCCGCGGGTCTGCCCCACCCTCCGGAGTTCCAAGGACAGTGGCAGGTTGAAAGCAGGCAGGGCCTTGTGATTAGAATGATACTCAGCTCTAAGGTGGACTTGAACCATGCTGGGCAGCTGACAGGGAAGGGGCATGCCTGTCAAAACTGCTGGGTGCTGCTCCGGCCGCTGGCTGCCTTGTACCTTCAAAGTTCAGGGTTGGGGCCCCAGAACTCAGGTTTCAGTGATGCTGGCTGCTAGTGCCCACTCCTCGAGCCAGCCCCACTTTGCCATGCATCCTGGAGGCCCAGAGGCTGCTGGGAGTCACAAACTTAACCTTTTCTGTTCTGTGCCTGTTTCTTCTACCTGAGCTCATTGAATTTCTGGGGCTTTGTTGTGGAGCAGGTAAAGGGCAAGAGGGGTGGGTAATGGGACTTCCTGAGGGTCTCTGCCGGCCCACTCCCTGGGCCCGTTATTGGGAGGAAGCCTACCTGAACAGGGCTCAGGCCTGGCTAACTCCCCAGTCCCTAGAAGAAGTCAGCCAGCCACTTTCCCTACCTCCCTGGTGTCCATGGGGAGAGGGAGGTACAGAGGCTGGGGCTTGTTAGGAGTTGTGCCAACGGTGTTTCAGATGGAGCCCTTATATACTGAGCCTCCATCCTGTCCTGTTGCAATGCTTCTGCTGGGTCATGTGACCCTTTCTGGACAGCACAGAACTGGGAGGGCAGACGGGAAGTGAGACAGGGTCCTGGGGTGAGGCCAGGGTCACTCTGAAGTCTGAATTCCCCGGGAGCCTGGCTGGGGCATGCAAGGCTGCTAAGAAGGTGCCCAGGGAGGAAGGGAACTCATGCCATGGGGAGGACTGATGGTATTCGGGGATTCTGGAGTCAGGGGCAGAGTCCTGAGGGACCAAGCTCAAATCCCACTGGCCCTCACTGGCAGGTCCTGCCTGCGAGGCGGCAACAGTATCCATTTCAAACTTCAGAAGCACACGGAGCCCTGGGTGTGACCTGGCTCGCCTGCCCAGGGTGGGGGGAGGGAGCGGCAGAGAAGAGAGGTGAGCTCACACCTACACTCTGGCCCCAGTGTAGGCCCTGAGTCAAGCGCCCCGACAGCTGCTGCTCTACTGGCATGCAAATCCCGCCCCCCCCCACGTCCCTTTGAGTCTTCTTCTGCAGGGATGGCATCACCAGACAGAGGGGTTGCCCTTGAGCCCACAGCTGTCCAGTCTGGACCTCTGGGTCTGGCTGTAAGGGCCAGCCCTCTGGTCACCAGTCTCTATACCTTGAGGGGAAAGCTGGTCTGCCAACAGCAAGTCACCCCTCCCCCCTCCAGCCCAGGGGACAGCATGTTCCACAGTGCAGTTCCCTCCCCCTCTATGTCCTGGGCTCTGGGGCTTCACCATCCAAGTCATTTCAGCACAACCTGCCCTGCCAATGGTTTTAATGCCATTTTTACAGGTTACAGCACAGCAGCACTTGCTGCCCGATGAAAGGAGGCCCCTGTGCCCACCTGGAAGCAGAGAGAGGAGGAAGATCTGGGCATGTGCTCATCCTACAATGTCTATAAAGCTACAGCTGCCCTTCCGTCCACTGTTGCCTGTCTCCCTCTCTTCATTGTACCCAATGGCTCAAGACCAGAGAGGGGAGGGGTCTGTGAGCCCAGGGGGTTGATGAGCATGGGGACCTTGCTTCCCAAGGCCTTGCCTTTTGGGGAGAGTGTGGGTCCCAAGCTTGAGGACAGGGTCCCAGGGATTCCTAGTGTCTGAACTGGGGTCCCAAGTGCCCTCATCCTGCCCTAGCCCTCTGTGGTGCCCCTCAACCCGCCTCTTCAACGGCCTGCTCTCAGCTCCCCAAGCACTCACTGCTCCCCAAACTCTGCAGGTGCCTGCCTCAGGCCCAGACAGCCTCCCTTCCCACCCAGTCCAGGGCAGGAGCCTTGACCCGGCTCTCAACACCACCTGGGGGAGTGCGGGGGTGGGGGGTAGGTGGGGGGGCATGACAGCACACACAGCGAGCTTGGGCTTGGGCATTTATTTCCAAGTGACTGGCTGCCCGGTCTGCAAGGGGAGGGGTCGGGATGACCACTAGGTGGGCAGCCTCCTGGGCACCAGCCCCTCCAGGAGAAGCATAGGTCCTGACTGGCCTGGGAGCCGAGGGGCCTCTGTCTCCCGGCAGAGGGTGCATTCGGCTGGAGCTGCTTCTTGCTGCCGGGGTGGGGAGACACCAGGGGTCCAGAGGCACTTGTGGTGGGCACTGGCACTGTGGGTTTGCGACGCTCAGGAAGACTGGACCATGCGCTTGTGTGGGTCGAAGACATAGCGCTTGAAGGTCAGGCGGATTGTGACAGGCTGCGAGGGCTCCGCTCGCTCCACACCCTCCTCCTCGTTGGCCGCCTCCCCCCGGCCAGCCCGGCCCCGCTTCTTGAGGACTGGCATCAGGGTCTTCTTGGACTCAGGACTAAGGCCACCTGCAAGGAAGAGAGGACGAGCCGGTCACCTGGCTGCCATGACTCAGGGCCCCCGCACAGCTCCGGCCAGTGTGCCTGACCCCTGAGTGTGAGCTCACGGGCCCAGCTCCATACCCTGCCCAGCCTTTACATGCTCACCCCCGTTACTGTGCATCTAGGCCCCCCAGGGACGAGCAGGGACATGGCCGGTTCCCAAAGCCATGGCTGGAGGAGCTGATCTTTATCTTACACCATCAGCTGCACCACCCTCTGTTCTGGCTGGGCTCAGACAGGGAGCACCAGCGGCAGCCCAGAGGGTGGCAGATGTCACCCTTGCAAACCCCCCCACCCTTCCGCTCTGTCTCTTAGCCACAGCTCCTGCTTGGGGACCCCTCTTGCTGGACCCTTGCAAGCACCGTCTTCATACCACCTCCTATTGGTTGCTATCCCCCACCCTGTCCTGGTCACAGGAGCCTGTGGGCATGGTGCTCCTGCAGCAGGAACACCCTTCCGCACCCTTCCCAGGGGAACAGTAGGTCCCAACAGCCCTCCTTCATCAGAGGGAAGCAGCAAGGGCCTGTCCCTGGGACTTGCACCTGGGAGGGGTCTGCTTGATGCTGGTAGAGGTGGATGACCCTTTGCTTGGCTGGCTTCTCTGAGCCCAGAGTTCCCAGCGCCCTGGAGGCTGGCAAGTGGGCAGCCTGGCTCCAGATCAGAAATGTCAGGGGCAGGGAAGCCAAGTGGGCAGCGACTGGTGGGACTGCACCCGGGGGGCAGGCTGGAGACCTGGTCCTGCAGCCTCCAGGAGGGGATCCCCTTCTGACATATGCAAAGGGGCTACAGCCTGCCCCCTCCTGCCCTGGGCAACTAACTATGCTGCTCCGGCCCCAGCTGCAGTACAGGGGCCGAAGGGGGCGCGGTGCTGGGCCTTTGTGTCCCAGCCAGAGGGGTGTGGGGCTCAGCTGAGGCCCTCAGCGCGTGGCTGCTTTGTCACTGCACAGATGAGACCAGTGGGAGTAAGAAAGAGTAGTGCCTTGCTCCAGGCCTGCAGAAAGTGGGACAGCCAGGGCTTGGACACCAGACCTGATGACGGCAGAGGCCTGTGCTCATGTCTGGAGCCCTGGTGGCACCACGGTTAAGTGCTTGACGACTAACTGAGAGGTAGGTGGTTCGAGCCCACCAGTGTCTCCTAGGGAGGACTCGGAGGCACTGTGCTGTCTTGGGCGTCCCGTGGGGCACTTCTGCTCTGCCCTACAGGGTTGGCTATGGTTGGAATGAACCTTTTCCTTGACTGCTGCCTGCTTGTCCTGGCAGGGGGCCGTCTCCACTGTGGGTTCTGGAGATGGTTCTGGGGAGGAGTGCAGGCTGTGGCAGCATCCAGCACTGGCCTTGGAAAGCTGACCAGGAGGCTGGCCCATGAAACATCTACCACACGAGCCAGAGAGATGCCAAGGACGGCCCGAGCCCATCTGACCACGCGCATCCAGCCTCCAGCCCCCTGGGGCACCCTGTTGATTTTCCAGGGCCTGGATTCTGGAAGCAGCGGACAAGGCTGCCCACGATGGTGCCTGAGAGAGGGAGTGTGGCACTTGGGATGAAAAGGGCCCTCCTGCCCAGGCAGCAAGCCCCAAGGCTGTGTCTGATCTGAAGCCCCGTGTCCAGCTGGCCCGCCCTCCCCATGGCGGGGACTTTGGGAGGCATGGGGATGGCCCCAGGCCAGGTCCCCAGGCCAGCTGCCAGCCTGCGGGTATCTGCATCCCTGAATCAGATCACAGCCCAGCCCTCTGCAAACAGAGAAGGGGCTGGCACCACAGCCTGACAAATGGCAAGGTGGCCCGTCTCCCTGTGGTGCCAGCAGGTCTGATGGCTGCATCGGACGGGGGCTCCCGGCGGCGTCTCCGCTGGGCTGGGGAGACAGGCGTGGTCCAATCAGCAGCCCATCTCTCCCCTGGAGGCTCTCGTTACACACAAGGCATACCTTGAGTTGCCCGAGCCAGGCCAGAGCCGGAAACCCTATCTGGCCTGGTAATGGCTAGGTCCCTGTGCTTAGTCTTCTTCTGAGGCGGCAGCTCCTTCCTCTCCTCCCTCACGGGCCGCCTGGCACCGACGCCCTCAAAAGAACGCCTCCACCGCAGACCCACCCACGGGCCGCGGGGCTGTTTAAGCTCCTGGCAAAGGTCACCAGGAGACATTCCTTTGTGGCCATGCTTTTTGCTTAGCCAAGTGGCCAGGAAGAGGCAAGCTCTGTGCTGAAGTGTCCGGGGTTGGAGCCTGTCGCCCTGGCTAACGACGTGCCGGCACACAACCTGCCTGACTCACATGATGCTTCCAACTTGTCTGTTGCCTTTTACTGAGCTACATGCAGAGAAAACTCTAGGAATGGTAGACAGCGAAGGGGGCCGTGCCAGACTGGGTGCCAGTGCCTGCGGACTCAGTGGCCAATTAAGGAACAGACAGTAAGCTGGCAGGTGGGACGGCCCAAGGTGGCTGAGCAGAGCCAGGAAAGGGGCCAAGGAATGGGGTGGGGACCTTTGGGGAGACCACACACCACAGAAGATCCAGCAGAGAAGTCCCCAGGAAGAAGTGAGCTGGACTGTTTGGGGACCAACAGAAGCTCGAGTGGCACAGTGTTGGGGTGCAGGGGCCCAGGGGATGAGATGGCCAAGGTGCTGGGCTCCCAGAAAGGTCGGCCTTGAGCTGTGTGTGAACTTGGGCCCGGATCTAAAGTGGCTGACGGCTATCTGCTCCTCTGCTTGACCATCCCGCCTGACCTCCCCCCTCCTGCATCAGCCTGGGGACACAGACAAACAAAACAGGCCCTTGCTCACAGGAAACCTCTCTTCCACTTCCCCTGAGACTGCCCCTTGGGGCCACACCAGACCTGCCCTTCCCTCCCCATGTCAGCAAGAACTTCCCTGCTCGCTTCTGTGGGCACGGGCCACAGCAGTGTGGCTTCAGTTCCCAAACAGCCCACCCTGCCCCAGGTCTCCCTCTGTTGCCCAGGAAATGGAGGTCCCAGTCCATGTGCCTTACTGCCCTTGACCCTCACTGTTCGCAGGTATGCTGGGCACTGTACCCCTCACCCACTTCTGTCCGCCGGGGGCTTCAGCACCTGATAGGGTCATCCCCAGATGTTCTGATAGCCTTCAAGCCACGGTGCAAATGGCACTTCCCTATGAGGCTTCTGTGACCACCTTGTTTAAAATGTCAACCTACAGCCCTCTGAGCCCTCTCGAACTTTCTAGAGCTCTTATCACGCTCTCACATCCACCATCGTTTCCTCCTTGTGAGGTTCACTGTCTCCCACTGTTCCAACAGGGATCCCCCCTGGCGACCCACCGCTGTGCTCCTCAGGCACACTGGCCGAGAGGATGCGTTAAGCGCAGGGCAGGACTTGGCTGGGCTAATTTCAGAATCCCCACAGAGCAGGCCTTGAAGCCCGGCTCCTACAGGAGCTGGAAGGCAGGCATGGCCGGGAACGCAGACACACAAAGACTTGTGCACGAGGGTGTCCCCAGCACAAAGGGTGAGGTGGCCTCATTTAACCCTCACGACAAGGCACGGAGGAAGAAGCTGAGGCCCAGAAGGCCCCAGGAGTTAGTCCATGGCGCAGGGCATACAGCCCCAGCTACCTGCTGCCAAGTCTGCCTGCTCAGTCACCAAGCGAGCCAGCCACACACCCCCACCCCCCCTCACCCCACCCCCGGGCCTGGCCATCAGGGGCTGGTCCAGGCAAGGCCAGCACCTGTTTGCCATCCTGAGGTTCAGAGGTGGCTGAACAGGCTGGCTCTGTCGTCTGGAGTTACACAAAGGAAAGCTAAGAGCTAGTTTTTTAAAAGTGGAGGAAGCGACCTATGGGGGAGAATGCTGTACCAATGGGGTGCAGAGCAAAGGGCAGGAAGGCGGGCCGGCGGGAGCAGGGTGGTGAATAAGGTCTTTCCTGAGCAAATCTGCTCAGGCCCTGCTGGCTGGGGCCCCTGGGCCAGTCCTGAGTTCACCACTGTGACCCCATGGGAGCTGCTGGATCCCAAACGAGGTGGGGGGTGGGAAGGCAGGAAGAATGCAGAGGGGAGGGGGGAGGGAAGGTCAGCCCGGTGATCCCTGACAGCAAGGGCTGCCCTCCTGGCACCTGACTTCCTCAGCGACTCCCTGCGGTGGCTCTTACTGCCCCTACATGGCGCACGTGGGTTCCACGGAGCTCCCACCTCCAACTTAGTCAGGGGGTCCCATTCAGGATTCTGCCCTGCCCACAGGACACAGTTAGTCCCTTTGCTGGGCACTGGGGACATCTGCCAGCCTCTACACACGAACCTCAGGACACCTAACAAAGCCTCAGAGTCTAGGGCCTCCGGAAACATCTTCCACCTGGCTCGAAGGCTCCTTCCTGCTGGTCTGCCCAGGAGTCCTCGGGACCACCACCTGTGTGGTCTGTGCGGTGGGAGCCTCTGGCGCAGGGTCATGGCCACGCGGAGCAGGCACAGCACTTCAAGGCCAGAGAGGCCAGCACATGCTTTGACCCAGCAGGAGAGGCAGAAATCCCAGCCCTGGCCCTGCGGCTTGTTTCCACTCGGCACCCCAGGGCCTGCCCTCTACCTGGCCTGGTTGTCCTGAGAGCGAAATGCAAGACCGGGGCCTTGGTGCAGGCTCCCACCTCCTTACCCGAAGCCCAGGGTCTGGCTGCCAGCTCTATTTCTAGCCTAGTCCAGCCCCGGAGTGCAGCCACGACCCTGGCGGGGCGCTCTCCCCTTGGCTTTCCTTGGGAACACTCTCCCAGGACCAGGCCGGCCCTTTCTCACCGAGCGCCAGGGCTACACAAAGGCACAATAGGCCTAGGGCCGCTCTGGGTCTGGCCTGGGTGCAGGGTAATCAGGGAAGAATGCCAGAAGCACAACTATTTCCCAAGCCCTGGCCGACGGGTGCCATGCGGACACGGCGATCAAAGGCGGCAAATTGCCTCCAATTGCTGAAGCCGCTTTCATGTGGGGGGGGGGGGCAGACTGGAGGAGGGGCCGACATGCTGG